CTTTCGTGGGGGAGCCTCCTACTAACTGAGCGGCCGGCTGGTCGGCTGGCTGGTTAGTGAAGCGACCGGAGGGCTCCCTCCCTCGCATCTAATTCACTTAGTCGAGGACGCCGCCACTGACACGTACGCACATATCTGCCGCGCAGTGGAGCACGCCGCATAGAGTTGAAGGCGAGTGTGCATTATACCCCCATTTTTTCGGCTTGAATTTCGCGACCCGCCAATAGAGAGGACACTCGAACTGAAATCTCCGAATGAAATCGATCTCTGAGACCCTAAGACCGACAGCGCGAATCTTCGAGAGTTTAGGGGCTTTACAGCTCTATCGTCGCTTGTTCAAATTCCTTGTGTCTATTCCCTCGATTTTTCTTATAAGAAGCTCAGGCTAGCGGCTGTCTCGTTCACCCATTCCCGATGTCCGCGGGGAGGAGAGGAGATGGGGAGATTGTTCCTCGAAAGAAGATCCCGAAACGCAGAAAATCGAGTGGGCAGAGTGAAGCTTTAGCCGCTCGGAACGCGCTGCTCTTGCTGCGCGGGCAGGCTTTCCAAAGGAGCGCAAATACTCCCGAGAACCGCGGTTCCGAGCGATCCCTCGCAATTCCCCATGGACGCCCGATGTTGAGCTAGAACCACAGATGATTGCGGTTTCAGGAACCGCGGCTCTCTCGAGAGCCTAGGCGCGAGTACGAAAGATATTCCCATCTCTCCGAACTCTAAAAAAAATCCCCTGGACCGGCTCTGGAGCTCACCGGATCCGAAGCCTAACGGCTTTGCAAGGAGTCCTCGGAAAATCTGTTAGCGTGGAGAGGACAAGATGACCGCGACTAATACCCTATTTTGCAGCTTTCCATCCTGCAGCTCTCCCTGAGCATGTTGGAGTCTTGTTCGGTCTCCATACGATCGATGGCTCTCGCCTCAGGAGTTCCAGAAAGCTTGCAATGCTTCAAAGGCGCATGCGGTAGAGCCAATACTGTCTGGGGGAAATCCCAGATTTTATAATTCTAAGCTTTGAGAACCGATGATGGACATTGATTTTTTGAATGCTCCGGAGGCGAGTTCCTCCACGGCGCCCACATTGAAGCACCAATGTTCGGGGCGGATCGCACCCGCCTAAGGCACTACGCTCCTCCGAGCCGTATTCTGTCCGTATCACCTTTGGCACGCCTGGCTAGCTCCCCTTTCCGATACGAGGCGTTTTCTGATAATAATTTATCCCGAGGCTCCCGTCGGGAGACTTTCTCTATTTCCTGAACCGCCTGCTCGCTTTGACGGTACCTACTCGATTCTCTTGGTGGACACTAGTTATTCGGTGCCAGTAAGCGCGCTGTCGAACCCAACTATAGGAATGGCTCGGTCACCGAGCAAAGCCTGAAACGGTAAATCTAGACTCTCGGTAATAATAGTTATTTTCTCTCTGAATTTTCAGCGACCATTCCCAAATGCGCCGGATGTGGTGACATAATTCTGGACCGATTTATCTTGAAGGTTCTCGAACGGCCGTGGCATTCAAAATGCTTGAAATGCTCCGACTGTCAAGCTCCGTTGGCGAACAAATGCTTCGCTCGAGCCGGTCATCTCTATTGCAAGGACGATTTTTTCAAGTGAGTAGCGTATAATCTCAACATATCGGTTCCGGGGTTCGCGAGGATTCGTCCAGCGACTGATCCCAGTCCGAGTACTCGACCACTCCAGCTCTCGATATGACTCCGATATTCGCAAATCCGCGCATTTGGTCGAAATGAGTGGAGCGATTTCGATTGAAGAAAAAGCTAGGGACTCGCGACCGACAGCGCTTCAGATGCCCACGGATACTTGACAATGCATTGGGGGGAAATATCTCCCTGAACTCCGGGGCGGCTCGAATCTTCTCAACCAGTGGATCTACAGCATGCAGTTTGCTTTCAGAAGGTACGGTACGAAGTGTGCCGGCTGCGAGCAAGGCATTCCTCCTACGCAAGTAGTTCGACGCGCTCAGGAAAACGTTTATCATCTGGCCTGCTTCTCCTGCATCCTATGTAAACGCCAGTTGAATACTGGAGATGAATTCTATCTCATGGAAGACAATAAACTCGTCTGTAAAGCCGATTACGAAGCCGCCAAAGCAAGAGGTTTGTGAAGAGATCGACCGATTCGAAGGAATATCTTTGTTTTTCGTGCCGGTTGCCATCCCAACATCAACCCGAGCGATGACTCTGTTTGGAAAAATATTGCATCGGACGCTGAATATCCGGCGCGCTCACCAAAAAAGGCTGAAATAGCAAACTCTGTTGTTTTGGTTGTTTTTCTATGAGCCGTTGCCGGCAGAATGATCTCGCACGTGGCTTGACAGCAGCCGACCGTGTCGATAGGGCAGAGCTCTTGCCATTTACAAGAATCGGGAGTCCCCAGAAGAATTCAAACTAGACAATGTTTTTCTGACTCGACATCTCGATTCGGGTTCGCCTGATATTACATCACGACCACTTCGAAGCGACGTTCACCTTTCGTTTGCCATTATTTCACATCCTTGCTCGGTAATGGACTTAACAGCATGAAGCGCTTGGGACTTCTTGTTGCTGTAGAGTCGCCGCGGAAACAAACGGAAAGTGAGCGTGCACGTCATGTGACGGCATGATCTCTTCGAAGACCAATTCTCGAACTCGCGTTGGACTGCGACCAGAACAGAGCCATTATTTCAGAGCAGAAGCCAAACCGTCCCAGAATTTTTTTTCTTCGCGATTCCATCTGCGGATAACCAGCGCTATTATTCTAGCGAATTCATTATTGAGATACCTAAACTCCCCCACGAATGTATAGAAGTAGACATAATTTAGGGCTTCCTCTTCGTCGAGCTTAGGGCTATCGCAACTTTCTCCGATGAATAGCGATCTTTCTTCTGCAGAGGGTAGCACGAAACGACCTCGTACGACAATCACTGCAAAGCAGCTGGAGACGTTGAAATCAGCTTATAATCAGAGTCCGAAACCTGCGCGACACGTGAGGGAGCAGCTTTCGCGCGATACAGGTGAATTTCCGTTTTGCGCCTCTCGAATTCCGAGCTTAGTTGGACACCACGAGCAGAGTTCTCCTCCAGAGTTTCGGACCCTCGGGGTACCGAGAGACCATGGATCCCTCCGGCCATTATAATAAATATTCCGAATCGCATCCGGAAGGATTCGCACTCCCGACTCCTTGGAGAGTGGCACAGACAAGAAGTCCACTCGTGCATTAAGCTCGCGGCTTTTCGGCACAACTCTCGCTTTACTAAAGGCGCTTATTTTTCAATCAAACAGGTTTGGACATGCGAGTCGTTCAGGTTTGGTTCCAGAATCGGAGAGCGAAAGAGAAACGCTTGAAGAAAGATGCGGGAGGCAAAGCTCGTTGGGTTGCCAGTGCAGGGGATTATTATGGAGCTCCTCAATCCGGCGGTGGTGGACGGAAACGACCGCCTAGCTCAGCGGATTCCAAACACGGGGACGACTCGAAAGACAACAGTCACGCCTTGTATCAAGGTGAGTTGGAGCAGCCGTCGGGGTTATTCTGCTTTGTTTCAGGGCACGCTGCGAAGATTCTCCGTCGATTCCGAGCGCCTGAAGCCACGGTCGGGGCTGGCGTCGGAAAGTCGACGGCAGGAACTTTTTTTTCTTTTTTCGGATAAGACCGTCCGCGATTGGAAGAGACATCCCCGAAAACAGAAAAAGGGCAGCGGGAAGAGAGATGCGCCCATGGAAAGTGCTCTTCCTTCTCTTCCCCAAGCCGACGAACGCGGAGCAAACAGTATGTAGAGCTGTTTTTGGCATTGACATCCGAACGAAAAGAGCAAATCGAGTTATGGCGGGCAACAGCGGCGCGGCAGCACCACCTTGAATAACACCTCGTCGTCGATTCTCCTCTCTACCCCTCGTTCTCCTGGAGCTCTCTATATCTATCCATCTATCTATCTTGTTTGCTTCCTATCCATCCATCCATCCGTTGGGCGTCTGAGAGTGTGAGTGAGAGATCTAGCGCGCGAGTGAGCAGCGGAGGAGTGCTTCTCCTTGATCTCTTGCTTTTGTCCCGCTAGTTGTCACTTTTTAACACGGGTCTGGCAGGCAATTTGATTATGCCTCAAACACCAGTCGTGTTCTCGTGCCTCTCGCGCTATAAATCTCTCTCCGACTTTCCTTTTTCTATCCAAGCTTCGGCTCGAACCTCCCCCGATACGGATTCGACCTTATTTGATGTTTGGCCCCGTCTTTGGGCCTGAATCTCCGGTCGTCAGGGCGTCATATCAAAATTCCCGTCGTCTTCCCGAAAATTCACAGTCACTGCCCTTCTCGGCCACATCTCGCGTCGTGTCCGCACATTTATGGGTTCAAACAGGCGCGGAAGCACCGGGAGCCCTTCACTTCGCAAACACGACTTTGATCAAATCCAGACTATCAGAACAGAGAGGTGGGCACCTGGAGCTCTTCAACAGACTGCAAAATATATTGCTTAATTCAATAACATGCCAGCCAGGCATTTGCTCTCATAGACTGCGCAGCTTTTATCAGCAACAGACGCGGCGGCATAACGCGGAGCGTGAGACTTCCGAGACGCTCCAAATACTAGACTTCGATGTCGAGCGTTTCTCTGAATACTGAAGGTGACCGTCGCGTGAGCGAACGCGAGTTCGGCGTCGTCCCACCGGCTCACAGATGACGATCGAGTGTTCCGCCCGCGACCACCGGACGATAGAGCTTAGCGGAGTCGAGCAGAATTTGTTGCGTCCGGCGTTCAAGGAAAAAATACCGATGGAGTTTTGCAGCGGGAGCGATTCAAAAGATATCGGAGCTCGACTGGAGGGGAACGGAGCCGAGGCACTCAGCAAAATTGCCGAAAGAGCGCACCATACCGCTGCCAGTCGCTCTCACAGACGAACCGACAGGCACACTGACGGATGGACGACTGAACGACCGACCGGACAAACAGATAGACAGGGCCCAACCCTACTGACAACCTACGACCACCACCTGGCGTTCGTACTGTAACGTGGTGCTCGTGGTGGTCGCAGCTACAAGTTGAAAATGGAGAGTAGCGCTGAAACCACTCGATGTGGCTACATCTGATCGTTGTTCGCAAAAATTCGTCCCCGGAACTATTACGGAACACGAAGCGGTCACACGAGATTAGGACAAAGAATTAAAGTTTGAAAAATGTTAATGGAGAAGCCGATGTGCGAGAGCAAACTGAAAGATGAGACAAACTCTTGGAGACGAGGCCTTCGATCAGAGCGCGGCCACATAAGATTGGTGACATCGCCACGGAGGAGTATGCCAGCCCGCTCGTGTATCCGAGTGCGTCAGTGTGCCCTCCTCGGAGCGAGTGACAACCAACCCACCCATCCACCCACCCACTCCCCACTCGTCGCGCTGTGGTCTGCCAGCCGGCCGGCCGTTCGGTCGGCTGAGCGAACAGCCAACCAAGCGGGGCGCTTCTCAGGGAGGGCAGCCTACAAGGAAGCGGCTCGAGCTGCTTCCCTCCTCCTCATCGTCGTCCTTTGTCCGTCAGCCTGTTCCTCCGTCTGTGCGTCCTGCTGCCCGCCCGGCGTTGCGCTGCCTCTGGAGCTTTGTATCAGTGGGCTGCCCTCCCTCGGTTGAGCTCGCCCTCTCCGAAAAAGTTAATCAGCAAATTGTACCCAAACGCTCTCGGTCTCTCCTACTTCCTCCGCCGGGACCCTTCTCCCCCGTTTTCCCCCTGTCGGCTGTATGCGTGAGTCTGTCTGTGAGTAGGTTTGCGTATGCGACGGTGGGAAGCCGAGCAAGCGACCGGAAAACCGAACGCTGGCTCGCTTGGGTCGTTGTCTGGTCGTGCATTCGATAATAAGAGATTTGTTGCTGCTGTCGGTGGGCGCTAACCCTCTCGCCCTACCGGTATTCGCCATTCATATCCTCTAACGCCCCATCCGAGCGTCCTGCCGCCCGAACGGCCGGACGACTGTCTAGTTGGCGGGCTCATTCCGTCGAGCTGTTCTCGGGGGCTGGCTTAGGAGCTACACGGGCGATCGACCCAGCAGCGGCCGAACCGAGAAACACGCGGCTCGGCTCCTGCTATGCAAACTCTCTCCCCGAAAGTCCATGGTCCTCGCTTATTTGCAGCTCTCTAAAAGCAAACGGGACGATTTGCTCTTTTATAGATCGTTCAAATAGATTGTCTCTCTCTCCGGCGTTTGTTTAGCGTGGTCCTCGATGCTGCAATCTCCAATGACTCTCAAGTCACGGATATTTCCCCGAATACTAGCGGCTCTCGGTCCGGATTCGACTCGCGGATCCGAACGAACCTGGAATATCAGAGGTTCTCGGATCGATGAGTCGCTGACTTGACGCGACGCTCGACGAAATGATGAGGACAGGGTGGAACTTGAATATTCAATCTCGAATCTTTTATTCCCAGACGAAATCTCGGAGCCCTTCAGCACCGGAGGTTGTGGCACGCACGGTCTCGGAGGAATGTCCTCGGATTCCGAGGAAGACGACCATATCATTGACGACGATTCCGACCCGAACAGGCCCCAATCCGCCTACTCGGGATACAATCTCGCGTCTCCTGCGCACACTCCGACGGGTGAGTTCACGAACACCGCTGCAGCTCCGCAACGGATTGAGGTTGATCGCCCGGACCGCCTGAGCTCGCTCGTCTTCGCGTGCGGTACGCAAACTGACAGCGCGACCGTATGTTCTTTTGCAGGGGGTCCTACGGTGGCGCAACATTTCGGCTCGTTCACCTCGCACTTTGCAGCCGCGGCATTTACGACAGGAACGGCGGCCGGAGGAGGAACAATAGGCCCCGCGGACCTGCCACCGTCCCCTGCGTCCTGGCTGGAAGATATAGACCATCCGACAACACATCAACACCTCAATTCGCCGTCGTATCACTGAACTCCGGATTTACTTATCCGTGTTTATAGTGTGATTCAATAATGTTACTGTGTGCAGCCGGTCCACATTTGGAGTGCAATGAATTTGAATTCCGAGGTCCTGAACTAAAACCCAAAATCACTCTCTTGTATACGGAGAGGACTGAAAATGAATGAAATTAGGTATCGAAAGCAACTCGACGTCCATGAAAAAAACGTTCTCATGTCGCTCCCTGTAATTTTCCGAGTCGTTCCCTGACATGAACTCAGGACCATCCACGAACGAAGGTAGAGCACTTCTCGGAGGAGTTTTCCATTTTCATTAGAATATCGATTCGGTTCTCTGGCGAAATCTGGATGCCTAGCTGCTTCGAGAAGAGGGTGACTTCGAAGCGTTCGTTCTGTAGTTGACAAGCCTGTACATACTGAATAGAGAGCAAACACCTCTCCAGAACTGATCCCGGACAAGCGAGCTCTCAGGGAGCGGTATGGAAGTCTGTGATCACTTATGATAAACAAAACGGATTTGATCAACGCTTCAACTTCTGTGCAAAAGAGCTCGCCGTCGATAAGCGTCTAATCTAGAATGACTATCACCAGGAGCGTTGAGAATCCGCGGTGAAATTCCGATGCGTTCTCGGGCGATTCGGACGAATCGTCAAACTTCGGAGTACCTACTCGGGGGAGGGGGAAGCGTCCACTCCGGCTAATATCGAGATATATTTCAGAATGTACACACCTGAAAATAAATACCAATATCACCAACGGAGGGAAGCCTCTAATACTAAATCTGCTCATTTTCGCGCGAGATTAGGGAGAAAAATCCCGGGATCAAATCATTCGGCTCCGAAGAAGTCGGAGAGAATGCAAGATGCAATATAATCGTGAGCGAATGAATCCTCGAATCGAATGTGGAATTTCTGGGATGCTCGAGAAATAATTCGCGACAGGGAAGGAGATTGCTTTTCCAATTCACGAGTCTCGCTCGCTGTTATAGTGCTCAATCCGAGCCGTTTCGGTGTCGGCCCTTCCGTCTCGGCACAAGTTCCGAATTGGTTTCATTGGAACTTCTGGCATGTCGAAACTTCCCGCCTGATGAGACAATTGTGCATCCTTCCAAGACATTAAGATGGCAGCGACTCGAGAGATGGAATGAGGCTGGAATTCTCTGAAAGAATGGTACTCGCTATAAGCCCCACGCTCTGCTTGTTTGTTTGCCTCGCTGCTCGCTTGCTAGAATCATACTATTCGTCTATAATGAGCGGCTCCTTATGATGCACAAGCATGCTGAGACCTCAATTTCATTTGGCTGCTCTAAAACAACCGCTGCGATAATGAGCTCATTTGTACAGAAGATTCGAACGTTGCATAAAAGACTCGCTCGGGGCTCCCACAGCCCTACATGGTGTCAACATTAGGGACCTTGAGACTTCTCGGGATCCGTGGATAAGAGAACAAAAACAAGGCATCCACGTGAAGTTTGAGCAGCTCTCGTTTTATGAGTCAATCGTATAATGTATAAATGCTCGCGTGAGTAGGGAGACAAGGTGGAATCGCAAGCGGGACAAACATAAGTGACGTATGGATGAAAAATGAGCGGAGAAAACCGCTCGCTTTTAGTGTGTAATAGGTTTCAGGACGGGACGACAGAACTCCGCTTGCTAGAACTTCTGTGTTTAACATACCTCGCGTTCAGTCACGGAAGCCAATGATCTGGACTGCTTCCGCACAACTAGATTTCTTCCCTGGCCAATCTTCCTCGGATTCCCACATGAGTTCATTCAAATATGGGAGTACTTGACGTCATGCCCCGAAGGGAGAAACTCCGATAATAATGACGATAATAACAAAGTCAACAAGATTCAGAGTTTGCCTTCGAAATGGCATCGCTCACTGAATGCAACTTCCCTGGATGATTGATAGTTTTGAAAGCGTCTCGTGGAAAATACCCATTACTCCCGCCGGAGCGTGACATCGAGCTGCAGGCTTCTTGTTCGGATCTGAATCAGACGAATAAACAAATGGGACAATGCGATATGGGTACCCTTGACGATACCGCTCCTAGTCTTTCTCAGAGTCCAGATGCCTCGTCTTCGAAGATTCAGAACTTCTTCGACAACATCGCGGGAATCTCCCACGGTCGATTCCGAAGATTTTTCTCCAGCCCTGAAATTCGAAATGGGCTGTGTACGAAATTCGTACACCGTTGTCATCTTGAGAGGGGGCGATGGCACTCGTGGAAAAGGGCAAGAGCAACGATGCCGTTCCTTCGCAGATCTCACTTCGGCAGGTGACGTCATTTTATCTTTTTCTGGGACGGCCAGAAACATCAACTTCGTCACTCAAGAGGAGAGCGAGGGTATCCCTCTATTCGGTATATAACGCGGGTGCTTCGCTACGTCAGATATCTGCAACTGCACACAACTGGTGAGTTCCTCACTCAACTCCGGACGGAGTCGAGGCGGTCTCGTGAACCCTCTGACGGATTCCATCCTTCGAGCACGCTCGTCGGATACCCGTCTTCGGTGATCTTGGCTTCCGATGAGCAGAATCTCCGGCTGTGTTTAAAAACGGTGTTTCCTTCCATAGAAAATGATCGCTAAACTCTTCGCCTTCCTCGTCGTTCTGGCTCTCGTTGCCGCCGCTACCGCCCAATTCTACGGCGGGTATGGCCGCGGCTACGGCGGTTACGGTGGAGGATACGGTGGCGGAGGATACGGTGGAGGATACGGACGAGGATACGGCGGATACGGTCGTGGCTACGGCGGATACGGTCGCGGCTATGGAGGTTACGGCCGTGGATACTACGGCTAAGCAATGCTCTCTCCATCGAATCTCAGACCTCGACAAGAACGATTCGTTCAAGCTCCCCACCTACCGGCACCTTGTACCAAATGTATTGTAGAATAAACTTGTCTGTTTCCGCAGACCATACTCGAGAAGAGTTCCTGCAGCTCTAGGTTCTTGGGGAGTTTGGGATGATCACAGCAGTGATTCCTCGCCGGGAAGCGCTCTCGAGAACAACTCGAGAGGATGTACCAAATAACATTTTGTCGCTCTACGAGCGCTTATTCCTGTGCATTGAGGCGGGAGAAAATTTACCGCATGGCGATCTCGAATGCCGTGAATTTTCTCATAAAAGAGCGCGCTCGTCTACTTTCCGAGCCTCCACAACCTGCCCGTTTGTCAGAGACCGCTCGGACGTAAGAAGCTGACCTTTTATTTTTCCCATACCTCAGGATAAGTATAGAGCAAGGTTAAAAGTGCAATTACCACGGGATCCGTCGTACAGATACATAGGCCCCACGGAACTGTCTATCGAAGTTCTTTCTGCAGATCTTTTCCAGTCATTCGGACTTGGATACCCGTTTTTTGCCTTTGAGAGGGGCCCCTCGACTAGAGACTGCCCCTCAGTTATCTCGAGCCCCAACAAAACCCCCCCTCCATCAAAGACCGCTCGTGAGTTCTAGTTTGCTCCGCCGTTGGGATATTCACGGTACTCGAAAGAGACCTTCGTCGAATTGAGGGCGCGCAGCCTTTGATCGAGATACGTGTACGGTGTCGTGGAAGAAGACCATTAGGATTAGGAAGCGGCGAGGCGAGGGTGTCTGGAAACACGGCCACACTCCTTCCCGCCGATGGAGGAAACTAAAGAATGCCTATCTTGGTTCTCCTCTCAGCCGTTGGTCTGTTTACGAAGTCCCGGGATCAAGTAGGCAAGCGCTCGCTCGATCAGCGTGATCTTTTCCACTAGCTTCAGGAGTTTCAACCGACTCAATGCGTACATGAGCTGTCACTGGAATCGTTCAGTAATGCTCGGAGCTGCTCCCCGGCGATCGGTCAGCGGAAATAAGACTGCTTTCATTGAATTGAAATATCCTTGATGACTGAAACTATCCTGGTACCGAACGTTCTCCCAAATCGCATGTAGGTATCTTCTCATCAAGATCGGGGGGTACTCGTTTGAATCCTCGGAGAAACCGGCAGAAAAGTCTTCTCAGCTCGCGTGCCAAGAAAGTCGGAATAATGGTCCCCTGGAACGCGCCACGCGCCACCACGAAATGAAGTGACACCGTAAAATAAATGTCATGGCTCATCTGGATCACCAAACTCAATGTGTAAAATTATTGGCCTTCAGAATCTGACTCACGGCTGCGAAGCGTCGCAAGATTCGTCAATTCGGACGCTGCTGGGCGCGTGTGCCAAAGCTCCGCCCTCATGTTACGAGAACCTTCTTCATCGTTAAACACACCTGAGACCAAAGAGTGGGCTGACGACGCGAGTTGTCCATACATCCAAACAATATCCCGAACCTCTGGAATCCTATATTCGAATTCCCATACCATGGTTGACAATCCGATCCCGAGTCGGATGATCAATCTTTCGTAAATGATGATGGTGGTATACGTCATTGACCTAAAGATCTACTGTCCAACCGCGCATTATAGAGGGAGCTTAGCTATCCCAACAGCTTTCCCATAGGCATACCGATGCAATAGGGAGCTAAGCGCCCCGTTTATTACATACGGATATTCCGACCGCACATTTGCTTAGGGTAGCGTAGATCTTTCGAGGAGGCATGGTCTCTGGAGTTAGAAAATTGCGTAAGAAGGAGACAGAAAACAACCTCCACGACGGGTCCAGCCGATCAAATCTGGATTCCTCCAGAACTATCTTGCGGAGACAATCCACCAATCGGAAATTTCCGCATGGGCCAAGCATTCGGAGCATTCCATCGAGGGAGCCAGGAGCTGAGAGATGATGTGGAGAGTCTCTCGAAAGAGGATTCCATGTCGGAAGCTCAATACGTGTCCTTTGATTTTTGAACTCCGATTTTCACCGAGATGCTCATCGATAGCAGTCGATCGCCCCTCGCGGTCCGAGCCGCCGAACCACTCTGGAAACTTCAAGCTCGCATCCAATCGGAATATGGAAAGTTGAGAAGATGTGAAAGTGGTTTTGAGCGTGCGAGGAACTGCTCTCAGTGGAGGCAGCCGATATAGTGGGCAAATAGTTCGAGGACGTGTTTCCTCCTCTTCCTAGAAACACGTGAACCCTGGCGAACGAGATCAGGATCAAGGTGATCTTCCGCCGCGTCTGGATTCCGGAAGCTCTCTCATTGGAAATCACTGAGGAATACGCTCTCGGATATGTGAAAACTTTTCGCGGACCCGAAAAATTGATGAAAATAGGGGACCTGGAACATATGTACCCGAATCCGTTCCATCGGAGATGCTTCACGACGTCATTTGCTGAAACGAGGCCGAAAGCAAGCCCACCATCGAGAGATTCTTTCGTGCTGATTCCTCAAATTCATTATTCCTCATTTCTCTGGCTCGATGCTCAACTGCTCTAACGATACCTTCGACTCTTGAGTGATATTAATCGGAGAGCTTCATCCGTATCCACGAATACGGAGGAGAGCGAGGCCGACCGCGGAGTATTGTTAGCTCCGAGTTCGTGCTCTTGAGGAGTACTGCGGAATCTCGAACTCCAAGGAGCTTGCGGCGGCGTCGAGAGGCTCTAGCCTTGCGATGACCTCCGACCTCTCAAAGTGTCAAGTCGGCACCTCAACCAGCAGCTCCGTGGAGCTGATCCAGCAGTAACGCGCACATGCGCCAGTGCGCATGAGGCCTCGGAACGAGGAGCTGGATTCGGGGTTTTCGCGCCGCTTCAGAATGCCTGGGCACCGATGAGCTGAGGGTCGGTTCGACAAGATTCGCGGACACTCCCGCGTGCACCAAACATGCCGCCCACTCGGAATCTGGATGAATTTGCCACTGCTTGTCTTTGGCGCTCTTACGACCGAGACATCGACATGTAAGCATTTAAGGGGAGATGAGTTGGAATGAAGAGTAGGTGGAATTCCCTGTCCCGGGCATGGCATGTTATGATGATGTTCAAGAGCTCCGAAACGATCGTTGTAGCATGGGTCATTTGAGCCGCGTAGTCCTTCCTGTCTTTGCATGCCGCAGTTTCAAACTCACGTGCCCTCAACGGAAGGTAGCTCTGACGCTACAATATAGGAGGCGACATCCTTGGAAACGCATGGAACAAGCAATTTTTTTCTGTCACAAAGGTTTCTGAAGTCAGGGGAACCCACCGTGAGTCCCGGGAGAGGGTCTGAAAAGTTATGTGGACTGATGTGACCATGGAGAGGAAAGAGGGAAGTCACCATATATAGTCGAAAGTGAGTTCCTTACTGCACATCGAAACGAAACCCGGGTCAGGCTTGAACACTGTTTTTGACCACCCGTGGATCTCCTGATCGTGGAATTTGATTTCAATTGCTCCAAGATGCATCTCAACATGTTCTCCAGGATGTCCCTGTCGCTCCTCTTGGTCTCCGTCGGACTGGCGATCGTCACCGCTCAGTTCAACGGTTATGGAGGCTACGGAAACGGAGGTCGCGCATACGGAGGCTACAACGGAGGATACGACGGACAAGCTTACGCAGGAAACAACAGCGCGAGTCGTGGTAACAGTGGCAACTACGGCGGATACGGACCGTACGGCGGATATGGAGGATACGGCGGATACGGACCGTACGGCGCATATGGAGGATACGGCAGATACGGACCGTACGGCGGATACGGAGGGTACGGCGGATACGGACCGTACGGCGGATACGGACCGTACGGCGGATACGGAAGATACGGAAGGTACGGCGGATACGGAGGATATGGAGCATACGGCGGACGCGGTTACGGAAGCTACAATGGAGGATACGGAGGGTACGGCGCATATGGGAGGGGATACGGAGGCTACAACAACGGATACAGAGGGTACGCCGGCGGCTCGAACGGCGGCCCTGGTGCCTATAACGGCTATGTAGGATACTCCGCGTGAAATCCGTGGAATTTACATCCGGCAGGGAGCAGTCTCTCGGGATGAGAATAAAGGCTTTCCGAGACCCTGGTGATTTTAATTTGGGAGACACCGACTCAGTACGGACATTATTATGTTAACTTCAATTTAATCGAGCTCTGTTGAAATTTCGGCAGTTTCATTCTTCCGAGCTGATCTCGGGATTCGTATCTAGAATTCGATCTGCACCGGGACATTGGATCCTGCTACTCCTGGAAAAATCGGCGATAATAATTCTCCTCTCTCACTCAGCACTGAGATTCGGTCGAAGATTCGTTTCCGCAGTGAGATTCGCTCGAGATGGACTGGGTGAACACGTTCAGACAAAGACGCGCGGAGGAGAAAGAGAGCTACTCTTGCGAACACAACATATGTAGCTGCTCTGTAACGCTACAAGCGTTGACTCCTTGCGAAAGGCCTGAGGAGAATGTCGGGATTCGGGTTCGTGAACAGCTCTGGAGCCCGACAATGTACAGTTCGCTGAGCTCGAGGCTATGAGCAACTCATCTTCTCCCTCTCAATCGGTCTCTGAAAAGAGACCCAAGCTTCAATAGAAGCTTCTATTGAGCGGGTGAGCGTGAGCTAAGCCGCTTCAGAGGGCATAACTCTCGCCAGTGACCATGGAAAACAGCGTAGTTTCCTGTATGAATCCGGCATCAGAGAGGTGGCCCTCACCGAGTTCCGCCAGGACGCCTCATTGCCACCCAAGACCGCTGGGGCAGAGTGCCCACTGTCTGAGTTTCCACAATCAAGCGATTCTCGAATAGGGAATTCAGGTTTTTCCAATCCTCCAGTCAAATGTTTCTCCAAGGGAATAATTCCGATCGTTCATGCTGCTGAACTTCTCGGTCTGAGTCTGTCCGATTTCACGAGCTGGTTTTTCTCGAATACTGCACCCCCTACAGCAGCGGTTTCCGATTTCTTTTCATCGCGGAACCACCGCCAAAGTCTTCGACAATGCTCGAGACCGATTCGAGATTTCATCCACAGAGCACTGGTCGGTGGCATCGCCAGATAAAGAATATCTCTGACTTTTCCATTGAACACGCCGCCCCAGTACAGGCAGAGATTCGCACGCGTTATGGCGGGTCGGTATTCTTGCAAGTTATGTCGAATATATTTTTTTGAAGGATCATGACAATGGATATATTTCCACCGACCTTCGGAACCCCGGGAACGGCAGCTAGGACCTCCTTGGCCTAGGGTTTCGAAACCCCCTCCCGGGAACCCCTGTTTTACAAGCGAAGGGTCGCTTACGATGAAACGAGTTCCGGCCCCAGGGCATGCCCTTCCGATTCGGCATCGGAAATCATGGAAAAAAAATCTAAGAGAATGTGCAGAGCTGCATATGGGGATGTCGGGGAGCAATTCCGCGGTTGAGAGCAAAAAGATAAAACATGCTCAGGGAGGCTGTAGCTCAGCTCATTCTGATCCGATTCGAGTGAATCATTTTTACTGGAAACCTGAGAGCGAAACGAATATTCTCCGTCAATTGGCTTAAGTACAGCCTTCCGGAATATGTCTTATGTGATCGCTCTCGACCTTGGAATTGTTTCCCCAGTCGGGGGAGGGAACCCGACTGGATACTCGGAGTTTCAATCGGAGACTTCGGGAGAGGAGGCGATGCGAAATCCAGATACATCTGAGTTGAGAGTGAGTGTCTCCAAATGATGGCTCGAATGTCCGTGATTCTCGGGGCTTCGAAGCACCGACACATGAGTGAAAGTTCTTCTTCTTGTGATTTGCTCACCAGACAACCTATTCGAATTGAGCCGATGGTGGTTCTCCGGAATGCGAATGAAAGGTGATTCTCCTTCTGGGAAATTCACGACGTGGCTCTCCTCATGTGCGGAGCGAGTAGTCTCTTCCGAAAGTATACCATCTGGCTATATAAAGGTTCGACGCGGAGTAATCGGCGTAGGGAAGAATGTCCCGATTGGTGGTCGAAGAAGGGAGCGATCGGGAGCAGGGGAGGAGGATCAGCCTCATAAAGCATGCCGTCATCAGGTGTCTTGAGTGTCAATTACTCTCTCGGAATTCCGCTGATTTGAGCCAGAGGTTTTCGAGGGTCTCTGGCCGTGGCCGGCGATTGTAGATCGAAGAGCCAATTGTCAGAACAGATATCGCTTAATCGAGCTCTTAAATTCGCCCAGGCTCCCGGCGAGCGAACAGGTTCCGAACTCGAATCAGCCATCATCTTCGAAGTTAGCTCTTCCTCCAGACAGTTGTCCTTGAGCCTCGCCTTTGTTATCGGGTCAGATGTCTAGGGTAGAGGCGTTCCTCAGCGTCGGTAACACCTGAATGAGAGTCGAAAGGATTTCTGTGAGGGATCTTGCCTCGAACCTGGGTGCCTCCCGGAAAGCGAAACTGAAATCCTATGCTTCTGGAAATGGGCGTATTCTCGAAATATTGGCGTGGATGCCAAAAGCGAGAGCAGAAGCGGGAATTGCTTCTTCGGATGCCGAGTTTGTCGGAGAATTCGAGAAGTTCCTCGCGTGGAGTAAACCTCGGAAGATCAGGTGAAACTCCAGAACATTCCTCCAGAATCGTAAAATGAGCCATTCCAACCGAATGTGGCTGGTTGTTTGTTCATCTGTATGTCCCTATATCTGTTTGTCGCAGCACTGAGCTCGTAAGCGCTGTGTAAGTTGCAATTTGACTTTCATTTTATGCGTCGGGTGGAAGAGACATTCTCGACGAGGGGCGGCCCGAGGCTTTCCGCTCCCCTGCCATGAAGTTTTCTGAAGAATGTAGTGTCATCACGTGGGCTGCGAGCGCTCCTAAAGGATTTAGAGAAAGACGCCACAATAAAAAGGAAAGTGAAATCTCAGAGCTGCAATAAATAGGCGAAACAAACTCCGACGTCACCCATTGATCGAGGAGCTTGAGGTAAGACAACGTCAGCAGCTGCGCTGAGAAGTTCGTGTTGAATAACTCACAGGGAACGATGGTGAGGTTCAGTTTGGCGCCTCGGAGTGAATCCGATTTGGAGGTCGCCCGCTCTTCTCCGACTCGACGGTGATCGTGTGGGTGTGTCGGCTGCGAAATCCTCGACGGACTTGCGAACAAGGAATATGGTGGAATCGTGGGCAACGAAGCCTCGGTGTGGTCGCCGCGTTCCAAGGGGCTCTGGAATTTTCGTGAGCGGCGAGGGCGGCCTCGTCGACTATGCTGTCTTTCCGTCGAAGCTCGACGAGAGGAAACAGCCTCCAGCTCTATGACCTTTCTGAAGACTCCACATTGAGAGTATGCTCTTAAATTCTAGGCGCCACGGGAACCGAAAAAATGTACTTCCGCAACTTCCTCGCTGCTGTGTTCTTTTTCGCCGTGGTCCGACTCGCCACAGGTCAGACCTACGGCAGCCAAGGGGGTTACGCTGCTCAACCGGGTTACGGAGCCTACGGAGCCCAGGGAGGGTACGGAGGCCGATCAGCGTACGGACAAGGAACATACGGCCAAGGAGCGTACGGTCAAGGTGCGTACGGTCAAGGTGCGTACGCACCGGGATACTACGGACAAGGATACTACGGAGACCAAGGCTATGGAGCCGCGTACGGCAATGGATATGGTAACGCTTATGGAGGCTACGGTGCCGGCGGCTACGGTGCCGGCACTTACGGACAGACCGCTGGCGCTGGAGGATACTACGGCTAAATGAGCACGACGTAGGATTTCCTGGCCCAGGATTGTTGTATCGCGCCGATCCCGAGCTCGCGCTTCGATCTCTCAGTTGGAAATAAACAGCAACTCTGCCAGCGTGCGAAAGTCCTGAAACGATTGACTGCCCCAAAGAATCCTTTTTCCTGCATGGCAACTCCGAATCCTGATAATCCAACTAGGATACTTCTGATGGTGAGAGCAGGCTCGCCGAAGCCTTTAGGCGTTGTACCTGAGTCCAGCATGCTAACCCGATGGGAAGAAGATGGAGGCTCGCTCGAGCGAAGAGATAGCAGAGGATATTATCGTGGCTCAGGGAAGGGGTTCCTGTCGGGATACAGGCTATGCGACCCTCCTGTCACATGCTCTAGCTTCGGGAGTCTGAAATATGGAGACGGAGAATTCGCGAATTTTTCGCATAATGTGCAAAAGTCCCCTTGCGCACTTGATAGAAACGATGAATCGGTGCAATCTTCTCCGACATAAGATAATGCCGACCCGGGTTTCATGCCTCCATCGGCGTAGTGATTGAGCTTGACTCTTAGGCATCAGTCCGAAGCAATGGTTCCCAAACTTTTTCGGCCCGTGGCTCCCTACGAGACTACAGCATAACATCCGTGGACCCTCGTGGCTCCCTTCCGTAAGATCCTATGGAAGGCCGGGGATCGCCATGGCTCCTAGGGGGGGGGGCAAGCTCACTTCGGAGAACACTGGTCCAGAGCGACCTTCGGGGCTCGATGAGGAACGAGCGTCGTTCGGCACACGAGAATTTACGATTGCCGACACCATACTGACTCTAACTAAGACGACCCTCTTCTGGGAGTCGTCGCGAAATGGAATCACGCGGAGGATTCTGCCGCCGTAGAGTACGCTTGACTACAGCATCGGAAATCGGGGGGAGTCGGTTTGAATGCGTCTGTGATCTGCACGGGTTAAGAGACGAGTAGTACTCAGTCAGCTTTCAGCTCCCTTATTTTATTTCGGATCAGGATAAATAAAAGAGCAAGCTCTCTCACGGGAGACTTTTCGCAGTCATTATGCAAGACTTCATTTGCTTCAGAAAAGCCTCACGGACGTTTTCTGAGGCACTCATCGCGTCCTTCTCCTCCACACATGCCTCCATCAAGACCCTGCGACGGCCAATCTGGGGGAGCATGACGAAAACTAACGTCACTCGGCAGACCACAAACCTCCATCACATGGACCAAGTACTAGATTCGGGGCTGTAATTTTTGCATGAGAGGGGAGACACCGATTCGTAGACTATATTTCGGCCACTGTGAGAACTAGCTAGAATCGACCGAAGTTGGATGCCTTGCGGAGATCGTCCGTGATCGAATCAGAGAGCTTTTTCATGTCCCTCCGTGGAGTACAAATACAGAGGAGAATTCGATCAAACTCCCTATTCAAACAATCTCGTAGGAAAGCTCGGCATCCAGAGTCTGGGTAGCTCGCTTTTGATACATTGGCCGCTTGAACGATTGCAAAGGTCACGCAGTAGGCTGGCGCACATAGAAAGCGTGGCGACGCTTCCAAGAGAATGAACCTAGAATCCTCCTGAGCGATGATCAGGCCATCAGCTCTCGCGTCACTCCCGAGGAGCCGGGTCTCGAGATCTCGTATGTTCCAAGCAGCGGAAGAGGTTCTTCCGAGTAACAGGGTTTGGAGACGAAACTCTACTCGGGACTCCGGTCCTCTCATCCCCCTAAGATTCCCTGATATCGAGGGAATCGATGATGATTGGTGTCGAGATCCCCTCCCATCCTCCCTCCCGGAGAAAAACTCGAGTCGTCCAAACTAATCAGAATGACTCCATTCGGTGACCGCCCTCCCATTATATGCTGCCGACCGCAAGGAATTTCCGTCGCTTCCTCTCCCATTATAGGTTCGAATCCTGATAGCGGAATCTTAAGCCCTTCGCTAAGCGGTGCGGAGGCATCCGACATGTAGGAGAGAAGGCTCGTGTTTCAGCGAGGAATTTCTCGCATAATCGCAGTCAATCGGTGCCAGATCGAGCCTCTTCCACTGTCCTTGACGTTCACCTTCCCGATCATGACAATCCACCGCTCGGTTCCGCTCGAAAAAAGAATGGAAGTGTCCAGGCCACAATGCGAAAGCTTCTGCCTCAATGCAGAACCCTAGGTCTCGGGGAATGAGCGACATGAGTTTGTGCTGCTTGGATAATATTCGATGGAAACCGGAGGAGCAGCTCCAGTCTTGGAGAATCGGGGGATTGAAGTGGGATCCTGCCCAGGATCCATTAGGTCCGCATATATGTATGTATGCTCCCTCTTATCGCCTAAGATTTCTATCTGAGGACGGGTAATTAGCCGCAATCTCGGGTGACTCTGCCCGCAAAGGTTTTCCCTGCAGTTTCTGTTCCAGCGATCGATCCGCCTCGGCGGGGACCGGCTTGAGGATGAGTTGAGTTTCGTCAACGCCCATCATCATAAGCAGGAGTACATTTATCTCTGGAGACAGTCACCATCTTAGCCCTGACAACAGGTCTTTCCGGACAGCTTTCGACGTATCAAAACTGTATGTGTCATTGCCAAGCAATGGCGAAGTTATTCTATCGGTGTCCTGGGAATTCTGCGGGCCTTCCGCCATGATAACGATCGATTCCGAACTGGCCAGCGAGATTCTGACGGCTTGAGAAAGCTTGCGCAGAGCATTAATATCATACACCTGACGCGAAATCGGACGAAAAATCCGGGAAAGATTCCCGACCGGTACCGCTCACATCAGAGCAACGATGGCAGTGAAGCTTCTATGTCCCCGCCACGGTCGAAGAGAACAACATGGCGACGCGCATGCTGGGTCGCGCGGTTTTTGGAGCGTTTTCACGTTCCGTCACTCCGGCAGGGGCTCGCTCATGCTGCAACGCATCGCGAGTGACCCAGAACTCATCGAGGATTCATTGGATCGCAGCAGGCATTGGATTCGCAGGGAGCGCCTATGGTAAAGATATGCGATGTTGACATCGTTAGTGACTGAAGCTCGTTGGGGAGTGGGGAGGTTATCAGCGCGAACTGGTGTTCTAATTCGTGTGGGCTGCTCGTTCTCTCTAGTTTTCGGAGTCTCCAACACAAACAATGCTGCATCATCGTTCGACGATTTGAGACGGATAACTGTGAAGGGAACCGAATACCTTATCGAAGATGAGCAATGGGCGAACATCGTACCTCCACAGTTCACAGTTTCGAGGAAGGTTAGTTGGAAATCATCCTCGACCGCGATTTGTGCGAGCATACCAATTCCATTGGTTCCGTGATTACTGGGTCTAGTTTCTGAAATGTCCAAAGATATCACTCCCGACTGACAACACTGACCTCTTCGTAGGTCGACGGTCCGACGGATCTGCCCGGCGTTCGACTGACATTATTCCAGTATCAGACATGTCCGTTCTGCTGCAAAGTCCGAGCTTTCCTCGACTTCGTTGGTGTTCCCTACGACGTCGTGGAGGTCGATCCCGTGCTGCGGCAACAGATTAAATTCTCCACCTACCGCAAAGTTCCTATCCTTCTACTTCAAGAGGGGGATAACTGTTGGGTGAGTCGAAAAACTATGCTCCATGATCATGTTTCTCATACAGCTTGCCCGACATTCCCTGCGGAACGTCGAACTTCGCATTCGCGCGTCGAATGCCTCAATCCATGTTCGAGTCGGCGGTGAAAGTCGAGCTCGGGGGTATATGATACTTACAAAGATCTGGCCTTACCTTCACTCCTATTCGCAGCAACTCAATGATTCCACTGTCATCATAAGCATCCTGCAGAGCTACCTGCTCAATAAGAACGACGGGATCCGCAAGTATCTCGGATTGTACAGACCTGTGAAAACCAAAGATGATTCCGGCAAACAGGTTTGTTCTCCCGAATCATGTGGTCTCGCCACAGACTTTACCAAACGGACCGATTTGAGACACCGACATGCTCGTAAGATATAGGAACTGCGAGCTTTGTTGTAAAGGGTTTTGACCATAATCGACTCAGCTATTTCCGGGAGTCGCTCACAAGGCGGTCATGCTCCGAATCTATGTTTCTCACATTAGTAGATGGTTCCTAATGGCCAACCTCCCCTGGCGGTATCGTGATTGTGAATATCTCCATCCAAGCCCGATAGCCGGAGACCTCCCTCACCTCCGCATGCTCCATATATCAATGGATCCATGACTTCAAAGCATCCCCTTTCGTATCTCTGCAGGTAACTGAAGTGTACAACAAGTACAATATTATGTTCGGGGTTTCGCAACCCGACATGAAAGCGATCCAAGAAGAGATCCGATGGAGGAAGTGGGCTGACGAAGTTTTGGTTCATGTCCTATCACCAAACGTCTACCGGACCCGAGAAGAGGCACTCCAGGCCTTCAATTACTTCAGTGAGGTATGTCGAGATTCGCGAGACAGACTTTCCCTGGTGGAAGCACCTGCCTGTATCCGATGATTGAGACAATAATCTCTCCCGAAGGCCGGTGATTGGGAACGACTTTTCCCCGCCTGGGAGCGCTATATGGTGATCTATGTTGGAGCAACGGCGATGTACTTCGTTGGCAAAAGATTGAAACGGAAGTACAACCTCAAAGACGATGTCAGGCTCAGTTTCTACGATGAATGCACCAAATGGGTCAGAAATCTCAAAGGGAAGACTTTTGCGGGAGGCGAGGAGCCTAATCTCGCCGATCTGGTGAGCGAAATTTCTTTCTAACGAATATATCGAAGAACCCTGTGAAAACGACTTATTGTGAGCATTGTTAGAGTTCACCAGTGCTGATTCCGATTAATCATTCAAGGCTGTGTTCGGTGTTCTGAATTCGGTGGAGGGCTGCTCGGCATTCCAAGATGTTCTCCAGCATACAAAGATCCAAAGATGGTATGACGACATGAAAAAAGTCACGAGACGTTCCGAATGAAAATCCACCCTGTAATGAGCCCGCTCTAGCTCTGTACATTCTGACAACTGCTCTAGACCGAGATATTTAAACAGCCGCAAGTTCTAGCTCTTTTCGTTATCGATTGCTGCGGTGTGATGATGATACACATATATCAATAAAGACGAGTAGGTCTGCGCAAACTCCGCAGTTTTCACTATCAGGGTCAGGAGGTAGACCACGAACCGGATCGTTTCGCCCTTCGCTTCCCGACCAGGCGGTCACGTGTGGATGCCCGGTGCATGGCTTCCCGGTTTGTCGCGTGTTGATAAATGATGCCTTGAAAGCTCCAAGGATATTTCCTTGCCCTCTGATATTTATAAGCCATCGAATTGCCGGGACATTAGAAGAAACTCTGATTTACCGAAATGGCCCCCGAATAAATCACAGACGAGTACATCAGTCTTTCTCGTCAACGCTTCATTTTCCCTTAGGTAGCTGAGTCCGAAAATGCGCGAAATCCGCTATCGATCATCTTTGTGGGTATCGTAGCGGAAATTCCGGGCGGTACGAGACTCATAATTGAATCGTTTATTTTCGAAACATCGTAACTCCACTCTGGAAAAACACCCAAAAACAATCTTCCCCCTGTAGTTTATCCCACAGGATACCGATCCTGGCTTGTGGGGCCATTTTCGAAAGCTCTTGGTGAGAGCTTTCAGAAAAAAGATATAACACCGCCCTCCCTCTCCTTCTGTGGCTACACGCGGAGAAATGAGTCTTTGGAGTTACGATGTTTTGAAAATAAACTTTTTTTCAAAACTCAGGAATCTTTATCTCGCCGTAAAAACGTCCAGGATCATCGTAGGAGGCTGTTTTTTTTTTCAAAATAAAGCCCAGGTCCTCAGCTTTCCAACGAGGCACCGCACGACCCTATAGCTCCATTCAATCAAAAGTTACGGGCGTTTTAAGAATGGACCAATCCCCATAGACTTAACATTGACCTCCGATCTGCAAAATGACTTCTCTCCCATCATGCTGTAGGAGAATATACTGAAGATGAGAACGGATTGAATGAGAGAAAGAACGCACCAATCAATGAGGAAAACTGAAGTTTATTCATTTAGCCCTCGGAATCATACTCCGAATCATCACCCAAGTCCAGATCGGCTCTGGATGCGAGTTCATCGTAGAACTCCTGGTATGGCTCTGGGATGAACTTGCGGAGGCTCTGAATGTCCGCAAGTTTTTGTTTTTGATGGACACCCCTCTCTCTCCATATAAAGATGTCGTAGGGAGTGCCGGGGGCACAGCCGTCTTGGCCAGCAGGAATGTGATCCCCGAGCATCAAGCATCTCCGCTGTGAAAGTCGGTCGGGTGTCCATGCCTTTCGGTTCCCCCAATGCGCGCCTCGCGATGGCTTTTTCAAATCACCCGCTATTCGAGAAAAAAATCATTGGCCTTTGAATCAATGTTAAGTCTATGGGGATTGGTCCATTCTTAAAACGCCCGTAACTTTTGATTGAATGGAGCTATAGGGTCGTGCGGTGCCTCGTTGGAAAGCTGAGGACCTGGGCTTCATTTTGAAAAAAAAAACAGCCTCCTACGATGATCCTGGACGTTTTTACGGCGAGATAAAGATTCCTGAGTTTTGAAAAAAAGTTTATTTTCAAAACATCGTAACTCCAAAGACTCATTTCTCCGCGTGTAGCCACAGAAGGAGAGGGAGGGCGGTGTTATATCTTTTTTCTGAAAGCTCTCACCAAGAGCTTTCGAAAATGGCCCCACAAGCCAGGATCGGTATCCTGTGGGATAAACTACAGGGGGAAGATTGTTTTTGGGTGTTTTTCCAGAGTGGAGTTACGATGTTTCGAAAATAAACGATTCAATTACTCCCCGCACGAAAACGGAAAAATGAATATTACTCGTTTGATGCTAATCGACCATCCGCTTCGATTCACTCGACAGAAAAAATGGACAAAAAAGTTTGGCAGATTGCGCGTGAAGAAGTGAACGAAACTTAGGGTATGAGCGAAGCAATAGAACATCATCTCTGTATCGCGGACAAAACAATTAAGGACTCGGATCATGAGCCAGAAGATAAGATTGACTTCTATACATAGCCAAGAAAAACGGGCATCGTTTCTTCTTATTCTCAAACGAGAAAAAACAGGAGCTATGGGTTCGTACCTCATTCAACCGTACCCTTGACGAAACCGAGGAAGTAGTTGACGAGAACGCCCGCTCCACGGAAGGAAGCTCCACTCTTCCTCTCTACCGACAGTTTCTTCCCGGACCGTATAAGGGCTCGACGAAAGTTTCACATGATTATCGGTGAATTCCGAAGTTCACTTTTCGCTCCTGCAAGTTCAAGGGTACTCTTCAGCCCATACTTCACCTGGTCTTCCGACTGACTGAGGAAGACATCGGCGCGCATCGCTTCCGATATTTCAACATACGATCCCTTGGTCGAAAAAGATCCATGCCTTTCGCGGTCCAGCTGACGGCGTGGCGGAGGCGTTGAGTAAGGGTCATCGCCACTCGAACATATTCCTCAAACCTCCATCTGTGCTGATGGTCTCTGCATATTCTGTTGTGTTTCTGGTAATCGTGAACTTTTGTCTTCGAGAATGTCAAGGCCACGGTCGTTACGCGGCTCGTTGCGTCATCCCATCGTCGCTCGGCGAAACGTTTCCGGAAACTGCGGATGCAGCATCTTTTGGTGGATCCTACTTTCGAGGTCGGGCCACATACTGCGGAGAGAGATTCTCGCGGGAAGAAAAAGGCGCACACTGCGCTCATGCGGGACCATTATTACAGAAAAGCAAACGTCGTAATGAAGCAGATAGCTCATTGTCTGGTTCGAGAAAGGTGGTGAGATGATTGGACCGATCAGCTGTCTTTCATTGGTTCCCCGAGTGTGATGCGCATTATAGACCAGGCATTCTCCTTCAAACGGCTCCGATATACGAAGCTTCACTGCCACCTAATGGGACCGTTTTCGGGCGTATGCGAATTCCCTCGTCTGATTCCCTACTCCCGGTGGCTTGCGCTGATCGGGTTTCGTATTTCGGTCCTTCGAAGGAACTTAGAATCCAGCTTCAATTCGGATGTAAATGTTTTTCAAGTTTCTGTTCCCACTCAGCTCGCGGCTCGTAATATATCCCTGAGCAAATTCAAAATCGTATCTTAGACAACGATTCGTCACATCAGAAGAATATGCGCGTTTCTACAACAGCCTTGCATTCAAAAGTTCACGCGACAAAAGTTTTTCATCAAGTTCTGGACCGGAGCGCGAATCCCTCCTCTTGAGACCTTCGTACGTGGAAGATTTTTTACTACTCATGGCAGGTCCTATTGCTGTCGACGGCGGTGTCATTGCTTTATTTGGCTTCTTGTGACGTCGAGGGTCAAGGCTTAGGAATATCAGTGCTGCTTTTCGCATGGAATGCGCATGAGAATGGAGGAATTTTTCCCGTCACAATGATGGAAAAAGTCGATCAGCTCAATTTGAATGACTGATCAAACGGAGAAAGGTCTGAATTGCTTTCTCGCGGGCTCGCATGCTGCTCACTCAGCGAGGGCAACTTCCCCATCGGCATGTGGGTTCTTCGGAATTGGCTACGGGAGCTTTTCCCCCGAGTTTAGGCCTTGAGAAAAATTTATCTCACACTTTTCTGTTTAACAGTCCTCGGAATGATATATTCCGAGTCACAACTTCTCGAGTGAAAGCTCCGCATCAAGGGTGCGAATAAACCACAACGTCGTGAGGTTGGGATTGGATCCGGTGGTTTCCGCGTACCAATGTGGCTTACCACTCCACTCAACGCATTCATCGCAGGTCACCTTGTGATCGTTTGCTTTCGAAATCCTGGGAAGGCGGTGAAGTTTGCAGACCATTTGGAGGAGCCCCTCTCTGGTGACGAATAATGAGCTAGGAATCAGTCAGACACACGCTGAGACCGGAAGTGATTCTTTGCAGTCTGCTGGTAGTATGACACGACTTCGAGTTTCATGTGTAGGCACCAAGTCGTACTCCCAGTTGCGAAACGAAATGCCGTCACCTCAGCGTTGACGACAACCGAAGCAGTCGAAATCAAATCCTCGTGTAGCCAACCACATAGCTCACAATGAGTGGCTGATTGTGAGTCTTATTTCAAACGATTCCCAGAATCTCCTTTCTGTTCGCGAAGCAATTCAGTTTTCTATTCTGCCTCACGAGCGCCGATTTCAGTCGACGGAACTCATGAAACGAATCGCCTCGCGTCACGACGATGGATCCAAGCCTCATCTAAGTTCTTTCGGAACGAAAGATATAGATTTCTCGCTTTTTTCAAAAAAAAGTTCAATCAGAATGGAGTTTGCATTGATTGCCGTCCACGTAGAGTTCGCGGGATGAGCAGATTTCTCGGGATTTCGCATTGGATTCCAGTAGAACGCGACGTGGATCAATTCTGGGTGATAATCGAGAGGATTCCGAGAACAGAGACCATTTTCCGAGAAATGAGTCGATCATATTCGGACGCTGTTCCCCTTCCACGAACTAATCGATCGATGCCGGACCGATGCCGACGCAGGAGGACGGCGGCATCCTGATTCCGAGCCCGAGGACAGTCCTGGATGGGTGAATATGATCATCATGCGTTGTTCACGCATGTAGGACGCAAGAAGAGCGAGACCGGCGGTGAGCAATACCCGCAGCATCCTCGAAATGGGGAGCGCTCGCGAGGGCCTCAAATTTTCACTAGGTGTGAAAATCCCGTCGTTCACGGCAAGCGTCTGAGCGCAAACCAGAGCTTTTTCCTGCTCTATCCCAAATTGGGTTCTCTTTGTCTTTGCGGAATTTCCCGATGCATTGACTCTTGGAGCGGTACTCAGTTGTCCTCAGATTCTGTTCCGCGAAAATTCTAAAAAATCATAGAAAATGCCAGCGGCAAAACTGGCAAAATGTTTTTCCTGTCACGCACGGGATGTACGCATAGAACTCGCTTGCGGACCTCGAAGGACATCGCAAACAATCACAGGGGAAGGAATCCAAAGTTTCCAGAAACTAGCTCTTAAGGAGCTTAAGAGTTGATCACCGGATGCTGGATTTCGGGCGGAGCGCTGAGACACTCGCCTTCCCTGCGTGTCGACTTCGGTATGGTCGAAGGCAAAGCCCACGATAGGAG